AATTTCTCTTTCTCCTGCCACCAAAACTTTGAGCAGAATATTCTACACTTCTAGAATTAGCTTATTTTCCACCTGTTAATCTTATTTTAAAAAACATGATTTTATGCTTAACTCTACTCACCCTTAATTGAACACACCAAGTGCATGGAGTATTCTAAAGGTGAGGTTTAATCTGTGAATATTAGTTCCTTAAGAAGCTACTAATTGCCAAGGAATGAGCCCTGATTCAAATTATGCCAACAGTGGTACCCTACCGTTGACAGATCCTAAGCCAGTCAAAGCCCTAACTTGAAATTTTTGGACTTGGAACCAGAAATGGCCCTCATTTTTTTATCAGGTGTATTCTGCCAAAATTCCTGTGTTGAACCCTTAAAGTCCCAGTGTGACCACATTTGAAGATAGGGCCCATAGGGAGGTAATAAAGGTTAGATGAATAGAACTTGGCATCCAAAGGGTAAAGAAAAGAAGAAAAAAATTTTTAAAAAATAAGAAATATTTTTTAAATTAGAAAAAAAAGGTTAAATGAGGTCATAAGGGTGGGGCCCTACTCCCATATTATTGGTGTCCTTATAAGAAGAGGAAGAAACATCCCAGCATGTTTTCTCTCCACACACCATGAGGGAAAGCCATGTGAGGGTGTTCAGAGAACACTGCTGTCTGTCTGCAAGCCAGGAAGGGAACCTCACCAGGAACCAAATAAGCTCACACCTGATCTAGGATTCCTAAGCCTCTAGAACTGTGAGAACCGAAATTGCCATTGTTTAAGCCATCCAATCTGCAGCACTTTGTTATGGTAGCCCAACCCAACCAATACAGGTCGTGAAGCTGGGGAAGTGTTAGTTACCAGAGTTACATGTCTTCTATGCTGAAAAGGGATTTTGAAAGAAAGAGCCAAGACAAGAGATGGAGGAACAGCCCTGTGCTCCAGTTATTTATTCACAGAACAAAGAGTAGAACACTACAGAAGCATCCTTCTTTATTTTTCTTTGTATATATTATATGTATGACTGAATTAGTTTTATAATCAGAAAATATTTCAAAAATAATATAATATATGCATGGAGTACTAATTAAGTGTTCCATACAAGTCCGTTTCTTTTTTTTTTTTTTCCTTCGGCATACTTAATAATCACCTATAACAAAAAGTCATTTCTACTAATTAAAATGTTGATTTGGAAACCAATTATCACAAATTTATTATTTAAACTAGATGGCTACAGCTTTAAGAAATGAGCACAGGGAATCTTTGAAGACTTGAGTAACAAACTGATATTCAAAACTACTTTTTGAGAAAAGTATCATTTTGTTTGCTTTCCTTTCAGTCCTCTAAAGGAATTCTGTTAGTTGCTTTTCGTCTAGATTTTTATTGATAGATATGGACAGAGGTAAACAAAAAAGAGAATCTTAGCTCCTCATCCTTGACTGGGACTTCTTGGTCTATTCTTTCTTAGTATGTTCCAACTAAAGTGGAAAGAAGCCTTTTCTAAAAATCATTTCCATGATCATTAGGATAGAATTAAGATGAGAAAATGGCACCCGTAAAAATACGTTTTTGTGACCAAAACCGCCACAAGATGGTTCATCGCATACTGATTTCCCAAAGCAGATACCGTTTTAGGAAAGAGCACCGTGAGAAGAGCATACAAACATTAATGGCCATAGACTGTTTCAGTTGATAATATTACTTGAGGTAAAATGGGCAGGAAAGAGAAATTACAAAGCCAAACAAGGACACTAGTATTTAACCATCAGAATAGTGTCAGAGAATACTCTAAGCAACTCAGAGAAGATGACAGCCTCTTACAAGAGGGCAATAAAGATCTGGCATAATTTCAGAATTCAAGATACAGCTCATCTTTCATTATATTAATGGAACATTTATAATTGGAAATCAATACTCAAGTCCATAGTTATATATGTACATACATATAATCTAACACTGTCTGCAAAATCCAATGACTTTCCCTTCCTTTAGCTGACTTCATATGTGCTTTAAAATTATTATTCCAGTAGGCAGTTCTCTAGTTTCCAAGCAATCTAATTGCAAACATTTAATCATTTTTTCCTTCCAATGTATCATGCTAGGACAAAAATTTAGAAAATGTCTTGAGTTTTGATTGGTTTTCCTCATTAATTAGATAAATCCTTCAAAATATCCTTGACTTGTAAAAGCTTTTTTATTTTTAAGATGGCAAATTGCAGCTGCAAAACTATAATTTTAATAGAGATAGGCAATTGGAACAGACACATGGCCAGATTCATGGGAATCTGAGAGAAGAAAAGGAATAAAAAATTGCCAATTGTTATGATGCCAGTTCATCAAACAACCAGTGATACACAATGTTCAAAGGGAACAAAGTCTGTGGGGAAACCAACCAGCAAAGTTATCCGAAGTACTTTTTTCCTTCTTTCCTCATCTAGGAAGTAACATGGTATATAATAAACAATGGGCTTCAGAATAAGAGAGATCAAGGTTTGAAATCTAGTTCAAATGTAATTGTTATGTATTTGATCTCTTTTTAACTATATTTTCTCAGCTTCTGGTTCTTACTAATAATAGTAACAATAACTGGCTGGGATGGAATGACCATGTTAGTTTATGTTTGGGATTCTTGCTAAATCAACATTATGGTTAATAGATAGTGTTGCATAATATCATGAAAACAGAAAAGATCATTCTAGACTCCGTGTGTAGGGGTAGGGCCATTTGCTGCATTAATCACTGGGGAAAAGATAACAATTGCTGCTTTCTCCAGCTCCCTATGTTCCAACAACATCGGTCTTACTGCAATTCAGCCACGCAAAGTGATTTCCCTTTCCCTCAAATGCTTTTCTCCTTTCAGCTGGCTCCTTTTTTTTCCAAGTCAGTTCAAATGTCACTTACTCTGAGCCCTTTTCTAGTTTCAACTTCACTATTCCTCCTAATAGATCACCCCTGTTGAGCAGCAGTTCCCACTATAGGACATTATCATGCTTATGAATTAATTTATTTGTTGTCTACCTGCATCGAGAATGGAAGCTCCTTGAAGGAGTTTGATGGTCCACTTCATAGTTGTATTGTCTGAGCCCAGAGTAGTGCCATATGCAAAGCAGACTTTCAATGTATAATTGTAGGATGGATGGATGATAGATGGATGGATGACAAAGGGTAAGGTCTAGGTGGTTAATAAAGATCTTACTCTGTTCATAACCTGACCACTTCTCATCACCTTCATGGCCAACACCTGCTCTTAGCTTCAGGCACCTCTCACCTAGGTTGCTGCGGAAAGCATCTTAATGGGTCTGTTTCTACCATTGTTCCTCTATGGTTTAACACCGGAGCCAAGCTAATCCTCTTTAAGACAATGGAAGTCACTCTCAAGTGAGAAATCTTGCAATGACTCCCCATATTATGTGGAGTAAAAGCTAAAGCCTACAAGGCTGTACTTGGTGTGACCCCTCCTTACCTAACTTCCTCTCCCTCACCCTCTCAGCAGTATCTCCTCCTTCCTACTCTTTGAATATTCCAGGCATCTTAGGGCATTTGTCCTAGGCTGTTCCCTTTTCCTAGAATGCCCTTTCCCCATATACTGTCAGCCCTCCATATCTATGTGTTCCCCATCTGTGGATACAACCAACCACAGATTGAAAATATTCAGAGGAAAAAAAAAATGATAGTTGCATTTGTTAACATGTACAGACGTTTTCTTGTTATTCCCTAAACAACTATTTACATAGCATTTATACCTATTATTTAGGTGTAAGTAATCTAGAAATAATTTAAAGTATATGGATGTGCTAGGTTACATGCAAATATGACACCACGTTATATGAGGGGGTTGGCATCTCCAAGTTTTTCCCCATAGACATCGAGGGACAATTGTATCTAATTGACTAGCTCACCTATAGCCTTTATTTAAATCTGACTTTCCCATTGAAGCCTGCCCTGACCACCTTATTTAAAGCTGCAATCAATCACCTCACCTACCCCCAATGGCAGCTTTCCCCTTTGGTCTTTTTTCCCCATATAATTTATCTTCTAACAATTTGTACATTTTTTTTTTTTTAGTAAGAATATCTTCCCTGCCATGCCTCGTAAAACCTGCTTATTTTGCTCACCAATGATTCTCATACAGCTAGAACAGTGGGTGGTTCACAGTAGGCACTCAGTATATGTTGACTTGAATCATCAATCCTGACACACATATGGAAGGAAAGTCCTAGGTAGCAGTTCACCACGTGGTGCTCTGCACGTGGAAGCACACCAGAGCCCAGGAGTTCCCAAACTAGACATCTATGAAATCCCAGCTCTGAGCACAGCTATCTCAGACAGCAGGAAGGATTCTGCAAACCCTGAACCAAACTGCCTACAGCAACATCGTAATTCTTTTTGATTCTTGTATTCTCTTTATCTATTAGCATTTTGTATTCCCTAAATATATCTTTTCAAAACATTCCTGTTATGAAAAACCAATGATGGCTACTGTTTATTAAGTGCCTAACTACCATTTAGGGTAAATGATAGATTTGTAGTTCTATTAGATGGTACCATAGCTTGGGAACCCAGGAAACACTGCCTTGGTTGGTTCCTGGTTGGAGAAACCTACTTGAACTTGAACTCATTATCTGTCTGGGGGGGAAAATACTGAATTATTTTACAGCCATTTGCTAAGGCCTAATTCTAAGCTATGGAATGAATACATCCATTATTCAAACATACTCTCACATAGCTAAGAAGGAAAAAAAAAATTATAACTCCAGGAGCCAAAAACAACCTGCTTCACTACTCACAAGTTCGTAGTGATGAGAACACAATATGCTAACTGTCAAACTCAACTGAAGTTGAAAACTATCCATTATATAATTCTGAGCTGTTAAAAGTAAAATTTCACTAAATTAATAATAATGGTGCTTTATACTTAATGACAAAAGATTACTTTTTTTGCTCCTAAGATTTACAAGGCTGACCAAAAGCTGAAATTATTGGTGTAAGGCATCCTAAGTAACAAAATCAGACAAAGCATGGTAAAGACTGCTTTATTGATGGCAGTTAGTACAAGTCAATAAATATTGATTCCCAAAGAAGAGCTCAGTTATTTATCAGATGACTGGTCCATGAAGAGCTGAATGAAACTGAACCAAGTGATTGCTGCAATGACTGAAGTCAATCCTGCTTCTTGGGAAATGAAGCCACAGCCAGCTGATATATGGCATATGCTGTTCCTGAAAAATAAAAACAAAGAAAGAACTTACCAGTAACTGAGATTTAATTATATAAATCTAACATTTAAGCTCAAAAGTTATAAGATAAAGGCAAAGTTTGCATTAAGACTACCTTAATTGGGAACACAGAAAGTATTACGATAGGTGTTGGCAAAATTTTAAATTTAACATAGCTTTAATATTAGTTCAATTTTATGAAAGTGATATGGCAGAATAATGTATTTGCCAACTTAATAATACATAGCATTTTGAAAAATAAGAATAGAGGTCAAAATATGCAAGCATTCCCTAAAGTGTACTATCAATGTAAAACCACAGAAGTTAAAATAATGAAATTTAATGTAAAAATAGCTAATAACTAGAATTTTATCTGTGTAACCATGTACCAGAATGTCTAATAGTCACATTGGCTGAAAAAAATTTAGGACTTTATCTTATTCAGAAAGCCCAAATATCACTTGTTGTCTTCATCAATAAATGTCCCTTCTATTTAACTGTATTCAATTCAAGCCAAAAAAGGCACCTTGGTATGAGCAGGGGAACTTTGCAATTAGAGTTCAAATCCCAGCTTTTCCACATAGAAGCAATATTATTTTGGGTAATTAATACAATTGCTTCATCTTTAAAATGAGGATACATTACAGACTTCATGTAAGAGTTACAGAAGTGATAGTATGTGGCATTCCTATCAATATAATGGGCACGTGGTAATCGCTCAAATCTTGCTTCCCCTCCTTCCCCAGAAAGCAATCATCCGAATCCCTAACTATGCTCCTGCTACATCAATTTGTGATGTGCCACTGCTAATACTGACTAATGGATCCACCTAATCCATAGAAAAAAAATGCTGGAACACTTTGCATAGGTAAAAGTATTATTCTGTACAAGTTTTGTTTCAGTTATGTACAGGGTTTAGATATAAAATATGCTTTTATTATGCATCAAAGCCAACATGTTTAAAAGCCCCTGCTATAGAAGGTGGGATAGAGTGGATGTTTTTGGCTAAAAAACAGCCTTGAGGGCCACTAGTGGTACACTCAGAAAGCCACCTCTATCACAAAATAATCATCAAACCTTATTGATGTATTTTTTAAGAAGGATATCAAAATGCTCTTATACAGTATATATCAATCACCTCTTGACTACTTATGTGAGATGTAGTGAAATGTCCAATTCTGGAACAAACTGTGTTAAAATACTGGCACAGCAAAAGCAATGAAGTTGTTAGTTATCAATAACATCACTTTTATAAACCTTCAAACATTCTAAATGCCTTACCACCAACTGTAAGAACCATGGTGAGTCTATACAGGATGGCATCAGCTACCCCACCCTTTAGATGCACTGGAATTCCATCATCCTCCTAGGTGAGGAAAAAAAAAAAAAGATATTAATAGATGTGTCACTTGTTTCCAACTAAGTTTCAAAAGACAAAGCATTCACATAAAATAATTCCTTAAACCCTGAAATGAAAATACTTTAAATATTAAAATTAACCAACAATTTTCTTCTTTCTCTACTCCTACTACTTTAAAAATAAGAATTCCTAAAAGTGAGCAGTCTTCTTTTAAAGTTAATTTCAGATCCAATAAAGATGGTCTTTCCCAGGAATATATAAATGTTAAAACTGTAAAATATACACATTGAACTAAAAAACTCAAATATAATTTAAATATAAAAGAATCAATAATCATCATGCTTTAGATTTAGTGAGAGGGCATACTTTTTTCCCTTAAAAAAGTGAGGAAGAATTTTGGCTTATAGTCCTAAATTATATCCCTACCATCTAGTCCAGCCTCTGCCATACAGTAGATTTTTAGTACATTTGCTAAATAAAGTACTTTATTTTTATGTAGCATATAAGATACAACTTTTTTATCACTTGAAATTTTATTTGGGAAAAACCAGAAATCGCAATTTTTTTAAAAAATCACTCATAATCTAACTACTTATAAAGGTAAATCGCTCCACTCCTGTAAGTCTTTCCCCAAGAGATAACCAATATTAACACTACGGTACATAACCTCGACTATTTTTTTAATGCCTCTACTGGCATATCTTCTAATTTATACACATACTTGTTTATCCTAACTCCACCTTTTGGTAATTGCAAGTAACAATCTTCTATAAATATTTCAGTACCTGAAACAGCTTTTGCTTCTCTGGAACTTTATTTTCAAAATGCCTGCGTGAAGCAGTGCTTATGGTCCTCTGGGCAATCTGACGGAGGCCCTGAAATAGAAAATCTATGTATATTACACATATTTAGAGCCTAAAGGAACCTTCAAAACCAACCATTTCCAACCCTTCAGACATAAAGCATAATTTGTCAGTAGCAAAGTCATGGACCAACACCTAAGTTTTTCAATTTGTTATTCATCCTCTCCTCTTCATATGACATTCTGCAGTCTCCAAATACCATATTTGAGAAGCAGTTCATGCACACTGAAACCAAAAAGAACCATGATCTTTACCTGAATTGAACTAATAACATTTGTTAATCCTTGAGGAAAACATATTGACACACACTATTAGAGAAAAGATGGTAAACCAAAATACACTAAATTCAAATGTCATAATATTCTACCAATGTTATTAAAACTCTGTTGCTTGACAGCAAAATACACTAGCATGATTCCTACTTAAAATGTTTCCCTCATGACATTTTTTTCTAGGACATTTTTAATAGAGTATAAATCTTTTTCAAAAGAGATTTGCATTACATATTTAGTTAAATAATGAAACAAATATGCAATCTACTTTCTACAACAAAATGATATTGAGAAGCTAAGTAAAACTTCACTGAATAATTACAAAAGAAAATAATCGTTACATTTTCCTTTTCTTTCTCAAAAATTCGGGAAAATATTTCAAGTGCTCAAAGTCGGTGGAGGGGTGAAGGGCAATGCAGAATCGCTTGATGGAAGCAATACTGCACTTTGGCCACGCCTACTCCTAAACTCCCATCCAACTGAATGACTTGGTTTTTAAATTGCTATTTGATGTTTGCTAAGCTCAGAACCATTGAAAACTTGACCCCTTCCAATACCAGAGATACACATTACTGCTTGATGCTTCCGGGTATCAGAAACTCCGCATCCGGTCCTTGGCTTTACTCAGATCAGAGCTACTAACCTCATTAACGACCCACAGGTTTAGGGGTGGTATCTAAGAACCCAAGACGGGTCAAACCCCCAAGTCTCTGGTCACCTTCCTAGCCTCTCCAATCCCACCATCTACCCAGCAACGGCCTGGGGTGAGAGGAATGGATGGAAGGGAAAGTAAGGTCAGGGGAAAAAAGGACATCGACCAAGGTGACTTCAGAAAACGCCTTCTGTCCCCGTTCCACAGAGGGTTTTCTGCCGTGGTCCCTCGGCCTACGCTCCCCAAACCCACCCCAGTCCCGAATGTAAGCAGAGAAGCTCCTCACCAACAGATTCCGCAGCATCTTCGCTCAGTTACTGCCCACCAACCGCAACAACTGAACACCGAGAACGAAATATCGCCACACCGGAACCGGAACTACCTCCTGGCCTTGCGCAAGCGTTCAGGAACTTAAAGGTTTCCGGGCGGAGGAGGGACTTGCGTTCCTAACCATAGAGAGCAACAGAACAGCGAGAGCGGCAGCACGGTTCGAGCCGCTCTAGCCGGCCCGCCGTTTGTGTCCGGTGATCGCGCTCCTGACCTTTCCCGTGCAATTCCGGCCGTTGGCCCCTGGAGCCAAGCTGTGGGAAGGCGAACGGTTTTTCAGACCAGAGAGACGGGGAGTAGTACATTTTAAGTAGTCTCTTAACAAAGCTTAGATAAAAGTAATGTAAGACCAGGCTATCACAGAAAATTAATATGTTTTGAGCGAGAAGGCGCAAAACTGAGCGATCTTTGAGCCACTGTTTAGAGGCTGAAATAACGCCCGGTTGGCCAAACTATAGTTGCGAAGCTGGATGAAATACAAAACAAAAAGGGTAACACCTCTTACATGGATACAGTCTTTTTTTTTTTTTCACCGAAGAAACGGTAGAAATTGTTCCTTGCGCTGAGAATATGCTGGAAAGAAATGTGTCGGGATACCAATTTTTTATCTTGTACCTTCAGATGCTGCAGAACTCCCCACGAAGCAAGTTCTTCCAGTGTCCCGAAACGGTGGAAGCGGGTCGCTCGATCCTGACTCTGGGGAAATGCTGAAAAGGGAAGAAAATTTAATTGGGGGACAAGAAGTGGGATGCAAACCTGTATTCATAAATCTTGCTGTCTGAGGTGCAGCAAGCCACTAATCTCTTGGCAGGAGTTGCGAGGCATAGCAATTATTTACTGTACAGAAAGGCCGTCGGTGTATCTTGCATGAATCCTGCTTAATCTCCAAGTGTCTTTATTCCGTGTGTTCACCCTCAGGACCTACAAATATCTACCCTGTATACCTTCCCACCTTTCTACAAACTTACAAAATGTTCCATTGTCATTTCAAATAGAAGCTAATAATACATGGGTTCAGCAAAGGTGAAATGTGTGGATAAAAATTAGTAATATTGAAATTATTCCTTGTAATTCTTGAGGTTTTCCTCACAATCTACTGTATGGTAATAGGCTCACCAAGTTACCAGTCCCAGTTCAAATTCTCTTCCTCACCAAAGCTTATAAACACCCAATTAATGTCTGACTGAAAGGTCCTTGTTTTCTACCCCCTCTGACTTACACACATACCAAATCTTTTAGCAGTTACCACGTGCGAATAACTGGGCCACAGGCATTCTTTATAAGTGGATTGTCTATAACTTGAACTTGTTAAAGGTGCATGTGCTTTCTTATGTTTTCTCCATTAGGCCAACTAGATTGTAAATTTCTCAGGAACAGAGATTATGAGAGTTTCTTACCAATCCCCAGCACTGCTTAAAGGAGTATTCACTAACCAACACGTGAATTAATGATACATTATAAATTGGGTGACAGATCTAGGACGCTTGTCCTAAGAACCAAAGATAGATCCTAATGTAGATGTAGATCCTTATGTGCATGTCACTTCAGTACAATTTTCCCCTTTTTACTACATCATTCTATCAATACATTTCTAAATTAAAAACAAAAAGACCGTCCTTTTATATCAGTCACCATCTCCTTCAAAATAAAACAGAATTCTTATACTTATCTGTCCTAATATTTTCTCGATCCCATTTTGGGCAGACTTTTACTGCTCTTGTTAGAATCACCAATAGCTTCTGTATTGCTTTAACTAAACTATCTCAATTTTCATCTCCATCAATGGCATTTAACATAATTGATCACTCATGATATACTTTTAATTTTTAATTCATAAACCATAAATACAATATAACATGGTGGACAGTTTGAAACAGTCCTAAAGTGGTTCTATCTAATACTATTTTGGTGGTTCTATTTTTACAGTTGTTCCTTTTAATTTCCTTTCCTGGATCCTTATCCTCTCAACCTCTAAATTTCAGAGTATCTCACCGTTTTTCTACATTCATCCCTTTTGTGATCTTGTGCAACTCCATGGCTTGAAATACCATTTGTGTGCTGATGACTCTCAATTATCTCCAGCCTAACCTTTCCTTTTTACTCAAAACATCTTCACTTAAATGTCTAATAAGCATCTCAAACTTACCAACAAAACTGAATTCTACCTTTCATTCTTTATTCCCAAACTTCTTCTGCAATTTTCCTTATTTCAAGCCCTAAACTTTGACTTTTTTCTTTCTATCATATCGTATAACCAATTCATTTTAAAATGTTGTTGAATGAAATGTTATAGTCTGCACCTTCAAAATATAATCTGAATTGGACCTCTTCTCATTATCTCCAACAATACTTTTACTCCAGGCCAGGCTATCATCATCTCTTGCTCAGATATTGCAAGTGTTTTTAACTGGTTTTCCTGTTTCCACTTTCACTTGTCTATCACACAGCAATGATCCTTTTAAGAAATTAAGTTAGATAATATGACTCTGTTCTAAATTCTTGTTTTGTTCACTGGTGTTTCTCCAGCATCTAGATTAGTAACTGGCACACAGAAAATGCTCAGTAAACATTGGTTAAATTAATATCATGCTGCACAAAAGAAGGAACTTACTGAGTATAAAAATTTTAAAAATCGTAATACCTTCCAAATATTTTTCAGTCCCAAGTTTCCTCATTCATTATCTCCTTGCTCCTATTCTGAATATTGTGATTATCCTGACATAAAAATATTGCTGAAATCTGCCTGAATGCCTATCAAACCTTATTGGTTCTTTCCAAGCACATTTGAAATGTGTTACCAGATTTCTAAATTCATCCTCTGAACCAGAACAGTTACTTTCAAAATAGGTTTCTTTCCAAAACATTAGTTTGGGGTTCTTTTGCTCTTGTTCTTCTATAATATTAGAAAATGGCTCTTTTGAAAAATACTTCCTCCAGAGGGTTCTATATAACAGAATTGGCAGTATGCTATATAAAAAGGTAGATAATCTGAGATAGCCAATAGTAAATCTAAATTCTTGTCAATAAGATGCACATCAGATGTGAAAGTAATAAGTGAAAATATTTCACAATTACTGATTCAAAGTTACCAAACAAGTTACCCAATCTTTTATTTTTCCTTTAAAAAACAAGATGACAAGCCTGTTGATCCTGCCTATAACATCTGTAAATCACAAAAACAGAAGGAAGCCAGAAAAGAGTTTTGTATGATTTATATGTGTGGTGTGTATGTGTGTCTGTTAATTCTGGAACTATGTTTAATCCTCTTCTAATTTTACAAAAGCAATATCACAGAACAGCTTCATGTGAACTTTAATGTATAACAACCACTGGTTAGATTAAAAAGATATTTCAATATAGTTCCATATTTTCTTTTTTTTTTTTTGAGACAGAGTCTCGCTTTGTTGCCCAGGCTAGAGTGAGTGCCATGGCGTCAGTCTCGCTCACAGCAACCTCAAACTCCTAGGTTCAAGCAATCCTGCTGCCTCAGCCTCCTGAGTAGCTGGGACTATAGGCATGCACCACCATGCCCGGCTAATTTTTTCTATATATATTAGTTGGCCAATTAATTTCTTTCTTTTATAGTAGAGATGGAGTCTCACTCTCGCTCAGGCTGGTTTTGAACTCCTGACCTCGAGCAATCCACCCACCTCGGCCTCCCAGAGTGCTAGGATTACAGGCGTGAGCCACTGCGCCTGGCCAGTTCAATATTTTCTTTATCACCTAGTTCTATGGATCACCTTTGGAAAACAGGAAACATGCTGTCTCTAAATTGCTGTATTACTTATTAAATAAATAATCTACCTAATTGCAAGCTTCAGTCTTTTTGTAATTAAAGTTAAGGAGTTGGACTAATGACTAGGAGTTGGACTAACTTTATCTCTGGCTCTAAAGTCCTTATATGTGATAAACAATTTCATAAAACATATGAACACGAGTCACTTCCTGTTGAACGATAATTTATTGGCTACCCATTACAAATGTAACACTTTGCAATACACTTGGGGGGAATACTTTTTTAAAGTCCCTGACCTTTTGGAGTTTATAATCTAATTAGAAATATATATACACATAATAGTAAATTTAATGCAGACATAAATGACATTTCAGGTGATGGATACAACAAAAGTTGCTATAAAAAATTCAAGAGAAGGAGTGGGCTAAGGTTTGGAAAGGGAAGAATTTTAGCAGAGTCTGGTAGAATTACAATAAATGGAGCAGAAATTAAAACACATTCCAGATTCTGGACAAGAACATGATCAACAATCTGAATTTGATATATTGCTGGAACTATAAAAATAGGGGCCTAGATGGATTGAGAAGAGAAAAAATACTGTTGGAAGAGTTAGGAACTTGGAAGTGAGATCCTGAATCTGTCACTAATAGTGACATGATTGAAGGCAAGTTACATAATCTGTAACTCAGTTTCTTTAAAATGGATTTAAGAGTGTTCACCATCATTGGTTGACTGTGAATATTAAATGAGATAATTCAATAAATGTTAACTGTCATTATGGGAGAAAATGGCTGGGTAAGGAGAAGTCAAAGAAGAAAAATCTAGGCACGAGCATATGCAGAGGCAAAGAAGACAGTGTGAACAGATGTCTTGGGGAATTGCAAATTGGTTTGACACAAGAAAAAATGGAGGATTGAGGTAACAGTGGAAGTCCAATTTCAGTGATGAATTTAGATATCTCGAAGGTGCCTTAGGGCCATTAAAAGGTTCAAGCAGCAAACCGTTAAAATCAGAGCTCTATTTCAAGAGCACTCTACTAGCAGTGAAAGGCCAGACTGGACATGAGTTACTAGGGTCAAAGAGTCAGTTAGAAGGCTCTTATAGTAACCCAAGGAAGAAAGAAAACCTGAACTAAATCAGCAGCAAAAGAGATGTAGACAAGGGGATGGATGAGAGAACCAACTAAGAGGAAGAACCTTCAAAATTCCATAGAATGTAGTGATTGTATTGGATTGGGCAGCTGGAGAGGAGAGCTAGGGTTTCTGGCTTAACTCAAGGTGTTGCTCATATCATTCACTATATCCAGGAATATAAGAGAAACCCCAGGCTAGTGTGGGATAATTCCTATTTTGGCCTTACATGGTATGCATAACTAAGGAATACATAAGGAGACTAAGGAACAAGTAAGTAAAAAGAAATCAGGAGTTATTCACAGAAGCCAGATTCTAAGGATGGAGAAGGAAGGAAAATGCCTATCAAGTGGAGCAAAAAGATCAAGGGTGAGTTCACTTGATTTGACAGAAAGGAACAGGACTTGTTCCTGGAGTGCCTATTTTTCTATACTTTGTGTTAACTACTTTTCATCTATCACTTCCCTTATTCCTCAAAACAAAATCTGTCAAGTGGGCATTGAAATCCCTATTTTACAGACAAGGAAATGGTAAATGGTTTAGGAGATTAAGCAAGAAGGTACTGTATGTATATATATATATACCATTATCAACCTACTTCTAAAATCTATATTCGTTCTACTGAATCTTTCAGACACAGGTGAGGATGACAATGAACAGTGCAATCCTGACATGAAAGCCTCACTGAAGCTACAAATGACAATAAAATATAAACATACTGTTTTACAAACTTTGCTGTGAAAAAGAAAGACAACACATCCCAGGGATTATTTCAGACCACTGATTCTCAAGAATGTGGGTTGAGGGTGGGGTGGGAGACACAGCTCAAGCACAATTTGACATATACTTCTAAAGCTACTTTGTAACTCTGGTGTTTAAACAAAGTAGCTTATCAGGCTTAGAAAGGATGTATGGGGAGTTTAAGCTTGTGATATACAGACAAGCTCCTATTAATATCACTTAAAGTATATAAGCTTATCTTGGAAAGATTTTTTTTTAAAAGTTATAAAATCACCAAAAGCTGAAGGACATATTTGATTTAAGTTTTTTCTGGGTTAAGATAGTGCACTGGCCCTAAGAATTTATCTCTCCTCCCTCCCAATGCAGTAAAATGATGGAAAGCAAAAGGTATGAGAAAAACTGATAAGAAA